TGGGGACTCCAGCAGAGCCCTGACCTGCTGGCGGTTCTGGGAACTTCACTAGCCTAGACCGGGCCTCCATGTCTCTGTCTCTGAGGTGAGAGGACCAGACTAGAAGGGAGCTGGGAGAGCCTTTTCTGCTGCCGACGCTCTGGGCTCCTGTGAGAAGACAGGAGCTGTGTCTGGGTGTCCCGGGTGTCCTGGGTGTCCTGAGCCAGGCCTCTCTTGGGTGCCCGAAGACGGCAGCTCCTCATCCCTCACCAGGAGCCCCGGGTGTGGGTGGATCACCCTCGAGAGACCTCTGTGTCCACGTCCTGACTTCAGTCCGTAGACTGTGCACCCCAGTATGCTGGGGTTCTGTCTTGCCCGGAGTCAGGATCCCCAGTGCAGGACCTGGCCACAGATTGCTGAGCGAGGTGAACGGGTGAACGGGAGCACGGATACACAAACAAAGGACCGGGGAGTGAGAGGGTGGGGGGCTAGTGGCTCCAGGTGCGAAGGAGGAAGCAGGGGATCTGTAAACAGTGGTGTGAGGGTGCACAGTGAGTAGGCGGGAGCATGGGTGGGGCGTGAAGGCAGGGCTGGCTCCCTCGAGTATCCCAGGATACAGCACCTCTCCCTAATCCAACTGTTTAAACGAGTATTTGACCTTGATAGTCAGAAAGTTTCTTTGTGCATCTGACTCAAGTCTCCTCCGCATTCCCCCCACCACCCCCATTTTAATCCTTAGCCTGGTGAGGCTGCGAGTTGTCTAGACAAAGCCCTAGCCGGGGAGTCAAAGCCTGGGCTTCCTGCCTCACCACAAGAAATCTAAGTGCAAAGAATCCATGGAAAGAATATGTGTAGGACAGCGGAACACCCACTGTGTGCCAAGCGCTCACTCACGTGGTGTTTGGGCGTGCTGTGCACAGGAGTGTCTGGCCTAGGGAGGGCGGAGTGGGGAGGGGGTGGGGATAACACAGGTCTGTGCTGGCCTGGAGGGGTGCTGTCCTCAGGAGGACTTCAGGGTGGTTGGGGAGCCCAGAGAACATTCTGGGGCATCCTGGGGGAGGCCTCTTGTAGAAAGAGAGGGAGAGCTGACCCTTGGGAATGTGAGATATGAAGCCAGGTGTTCAGTGGGAGGGGACTCTCCCACCAGCCACTTGGCTTCATGGGTGTGGCCATCTTGTCTGAGCAGAACTCGTCCCATCTTACCCCAGATTCCTGGGCAGGTGCCCCAGACAAGTCCTTGTATTTTTTTGCTTCTCGGCGTTACTCTCCGCTCCTGCCGCCTCCTACACAGCCCGCGTGGAAGGTTCCTTGCTAGCATGCTCAGGCTTTTCCCTCTCTCTCCCCAGGGCTTTGTGGTGGCCGTTCTCTACTGTTTTCTGAATGGGGAGGTAAGACCTCGGCCCTCTGGCTTCTCAGCATTGGAGGTGGGGCTTGCTGGGGAGCAGACGGGAGTGTGGCCTGCTGGTCACACAGGTGCTTATTAGACCAGGGCTCTGCCAGATTCCCAAAGCCACAGGAGGGGTCAGCAGCAGTGCCAGCAGGGTCTCCTGATGGCCTCCACCCTGTGCCAGAATCTCTCCTGCTTTGCCTACAATGCAGCCAAGGCGTCAACTGCTGAGCACAGACCCCTTGGGGAGGGCTCTCACCATAAGACCCACCTTAGTAAAGAAGAATCGGAAGTGAGGAAGGGCGAGGCACAGGAAATGGTATCTACAGTTCAGGAGGCCGTGAAGGCAGGGTGCTGAGCAGGTCGTTGCCCAAACTCGTCCCCGATAGAGGGGGCACCATGGGGACTTGGCACAGACCATGGGGGGAGGCCTGGAACCTTCTAGTGATGGTCCGTTTCCAGAGGTCTGGCCTCTTAGGTGATGCTTTTGAACAGAGCCCATAACAGAGAGGCTGCTATGGGGCTCGGGGCTGGATGGGTGGGATGGACTTGGAGAGTGGGCAGGAGTCCTTGCACCAGAGCTTGGGTCTTGGCCGAGAGACCTGGGCAGGTTCCTCCTCTTTTTGCGTCTGAGAAACAAGAAAATTGGGCTCAGTGATCACCACGACCACCTACAGAAGGGTCCAATAAGAACAGATAAGGAGAGGCAGACAGGGCTCTGCTGGGAGTGGTAGGGAGAGATGGGGACGGGTGTATGTGGAGCTTGTCCAGGGCCTGAAGTAGGAGCTAGAACTGGAGGGGGAGGTGCCAGTACCATTCCCAGTTGTACGGTTCGTGCACTGCATGAAGATGGCAGACGGAGGGGGCATATGGAGTCTGCAGCCGGGCATGCCATGCACACACCGTGCTAAGCTAATGCGGGGTGAGAACCACATGGTTCAGTGGTTCTCAGCCTTGACTGCATACTGCAATCCCCTGGGAAGCTCATCCCAGAGGTCTTGATGTGATTGTTCTGGGTATGGTCTGGACATCTAGATTATTAAAGGTCTGCACGTGATATAACATGTAGCTCACTGTTGACTGTCAACAAGAATGGGGTTCTTTGCCTGATCTCTCTGTGCCTAGGGCTGGCTTTGTAGACTCCCTGAAAAACCCAGTGGGATGGTCTCTGAACGTAGAACCCAGAGGTCCAGGGGCCATGCCCACAGGACCCAGGAAGCCATTAGGGCTTTGTTCAGACAGTGACACGGGCGAGGGACTGAGGTAGCTCCTCAGAGCATTCCTTTCCCTTGAGGGCTGCAAGCTGCAGTGTGGGAGTCGGCGGGGTGCTGCTGGAGGTGGCAGGGCCAGTCTGGAGGGGCCCAGGGCAGGCAGGCAGGTGGATGAGGCTGGAGAGGGATCCATCCGGAAGTGATGCCCACCTTGCTCCCTGCAGGTGCAGGCCGAGATCAAGCGTAAGTGGCGGAGCTGGAAGGTGAACCGCTATTTCGCCGTGGACTTCAAGCACCGGCACCCGTCCCTGGCCAGCAGCGGGGTGAATGGGGGCACCCAGCTCTCCATCCTGAGCAAGAGCAGCTCCCAGATTCGCATGTCTGGCCTCCCGGCCGACAACCTGGCCACCTGAGCCCCTCCCCGCCTCTCCTCCTCACACAGGCAGGGCTGCCCGGGCGCCGGCCACACGTGTCGCGCTCTCCTCTCCCTTCTGGCCGGCCCTGGGCGGGAAGCAGGGCTCCCTGAGGGGAGAGAAGGATGCAGGGCCCCGATGGGTATTTCCCCTCCCTGTTATCGTACTGGTCCCGCCCACCGTGGACCCCCGGGCCCTGGTCCCAGACATGTAAATACTACTCAAATGTGGAAAAGTTGTCCCATCCCCGACCCCTTTGCCTCCCCTCAAGCAGATCCCCAGCTCCGCTCCACCTCGTCTGCACCAGCCTCAGTGATCTGACCCTATGCGTGAGGCCTTGTGGGTGAAGCTGATGACCTTGCTTTGGGGGATTGGGTGGGGCCTGCCTGACAGCCTCCCGCAGTGTCTGGCCCTCACTGTGGACTCATTCTGTCTGCTCGCCACCCTGGGGCCCTTGTCAGGCTGGCCCAGTCCCCGAGGCTGGCCAGAGGTCCAGCTTGGATGGCCAGAGTGTCCTTCAGCGCAGGCCGGACGTGAAGCTCCCTCATGTTCACCCAGCATCGTGGTGTCCGGGTGCCCAGCCTCTGCATTTCAGGGCAATGGGACAGCTCCAGGGCTGTTCCAATCAGAGACTTCAGTTTGGGTGTAGGGCTAAACGTCAGAGAAAGTTCTGGTGCTTTTCATTTGGTCCAAGGAAAATTGCTGAGAGCCAGAAATGCGGACGTGACTGGAAAGGAGATGGAAGAGTCTGGGGGAACCCATGGAAGAAGACTTTCGCCATCTCCATTATTTTCCCCCCGACGCCAGGGGGTCAGGGCTTCATCTCAGAGCCTCCCTTCTCCCCCGCCACCCCAAGCATCAGCTGTAGAAGGTGAGGGATGGTGCCTCCGAGAAACCATGCCCCCGCCATGAGCGCCCCGTCCACATTTCCCCTCAAGTCAAAGCCATGACTAGGATGAACCGGACGCCTTCCTGTGATGTTGGTGAATTCTGAAGCACTTTTCCCCTCCCAGTGCCCAAGTCCAAGGCCCAGGGTCCCTGCCACCCCCCTCCCACCTCCATAGACGATGAGCTCCAGCCACCAGCTCCTCGGGCTTGGACTCTGAGACCTCTGCAAAGACTTCTCTCCACGTGCTCTTGTCATCAAATCACCGAGGAGGACGCTTGGGTGTCCTGGATGTTGAGAGGGGAAGCCACGCCCACCATGGCTGTTAGCGGAAGCTGCTGAAGGAAGGAGTTGGGTACCCCACACCTGTCCCAGCTCCCCACAGCCTAAGCATTTAAAATGGGTCAGAACTAGGTTCAGGGAGGTGGAGGGCCGTGGCCTGCGTGTGGGGCCGGCTCCACTCCATGTCAGCGTTGGGTGTCCCTGTCATGTGTGTGTGGACTTGTTTCCTGATTGTGCTCTGGAATGCTTGGCGAGTCTGGGTGTCGGGGGGATGCTGCTCTGCCTGGTTTTAGAAAGAGGAAGGGACCTGGGGGGCCTGAGGAACTGTTCGCTTCGAAGTGACTGAATAAGGGCTGAGCTGCTTGGTTGAGGGATGAGTCCTGTGTCTTTGGCTAGTTGAGCACTGTGGACCCTGGATCCTTGGCAAAGCGGGAGGGAGAAAGGGAGCTACCTGCCATTTCGTGGGTACATGTGGAGACTCAGGCTGGTCGTGGGGTGTACAGCGGCCCTTCCCTCCTGCACACACCTTGGGATCCCCCTCTCTCTGCTCTGGGGCACAAGTGTGTTACCCTCGTGGGTGTCCACTGGCCACCTCACACTTTGGGCCTTGATGAGGGGCTTCAGATAATTGGAAAGAGCCATAAGCTGGGATTCACAGACACAGGATTTGTCCCTGTCAAGCTAAGACCACTGAGACTGGACAGAGCACCCCTGGCTGGGCCTCAGTTTCCCCCTTTTTGAGATGAGGTGACTTCTAATGCTTCTCCGGGCTCTGGACTCCAGCAGTAATTCTCCAGTTCAAACCTAAGGCAGGTAAAAGGGCATATATCATTGTTCAGTGTGTCATCTGAGGTTTTGAAGTGCGTGTCTGCGCGTGTGTGTGTGCATGCACGTGCGTGTATGTGTGTGGGGGGGATGCTGTGTGTGTGCGTGCGTGCATACGCATGTGCGTATGTGTGGATGCTGTGTGTGTGCGTACACATGTGTGTGCGTACACGTGTGTATGTGTGTGTGCATGTGTGTGGATGCTGTGTGTGTGTATGCACGTGTGTGTGTGCGTACACGTGTGTATGTGTGTGTGCATGCATGTGCATGTGTGGGGATGCTGTGTGTGTATGCATGTACATGTGCGTGTGTATGCACATGTGTGTGAGTGTAGGGGGATGCTGTGTGTGTGCGTACGCATGTGCGTCTGTGTGGGGATGCTGTGTGTGTGTGTTTGCATGTGTATGCACATGCGTGTGTGCGTGTGCATGTACGTGCGTGTTTGTTTGGGGATGCTGTGTGTGTATGCATGTGCATGCACGTGTGTGTGTGTAGGGGGATGCTGTGTGTGTGTGCGTGTGCGTACGCATGTGCATCTGTGTGTGGGGATGCTGTGTGTGTATGCATGTGCATGCACATGTGTGTGTGTGTAGGGGGATGCTGTGTGTGTGCGCGTGTGCGTACGCATGTGCATCTGTGTGTGGGGATGCTGTGTGTGTGTGTTTGCATGTGTATGCACGTGCGTCTGTGTGGGTGGGGATGCTGTGTGTGTGTGTGCGTACGCATGTGCGTCTGTGTGTGGGGATGCTGTGTGTGTGCATGCATACGCACGTGCGTATGTGCGTGTGCATGCACGTGCGTGTGTGTGTGTGCATGCACGTGCGTGTGTGTGTGTAGGGAGGATGCCGTGTATACTTATAAGTGGGATATCTGTCCCTTCCATTTGGACACCACGGTGGAAGCTTGTGGGCCGGAGGGAAGGGTCATGTCAAGGATGGTCAGACAGATGCCTTGGGCATGGCGTGCAGACCCAGCCCTGTCCCTGGCCCGGGGCAGGGTGCCACAACTGGGGGGTTCCCCCAAGTATGCACCCTCTTCCTTCGTCCTCGCCCCCACCAGCAAGTCTGCTTCACCGTGGAAGAAGAGGCTTTGACTTTATATATAGATCATCACAAAACAGCAAAAACAAAATCAACCCTGAACCCCACGCGCTGCTGCCTGAGCCCGGGGCCTGTGTCCTTGTGGAGATGCCGGCTGCTGTTGGTCTGTTGGTTTGTTTTTTTTATCCCCAAACGAACTATTGCCGGTCTCGTGAGCAGATGTGCTCAATGCATTTCGAATGTTCCAGGAGGTTAGGCAGCTGGCCTTCAGGGTCCTCGGCAGTGGGGGGACAGCATGACGTCTGAGTCAAACCCTTCACTCTCTGACCCTCTGTTTTAAAGCCTGTAAAATGGGCAGTAAGACTAGGGGACTTGTCTAGCCCATTGGATCTCTGGAATTTTCTGTCTAAACACCAGCCGTCTCCTGAGGACGGGCACCGGCTGAGGCCTGCGGTGTTTGCCTGGTCCGGGAGAGTGCGAGAAGCCACGCCGAGTGAGGCGGGGTTGGGGACCTCGGCACTGGTTAGGCTGGAGGGAGGCAGCTTCCCGAAGACTCCAAGTGTCCAGAAGGTCATTGCCAGAAAGGGGATGATTCTCGTTCTGTGCAATCCTAAAGGACGAAACTCACCCACGGGAGGCCGCGTTCTCCTCGGGATGAAGACGTCTCTTACCTGCTGTCGCGACTGTCTCAGCATGGGTAGTGTCAGGAGAGCCTCTAGCCTCGAAGGAAATGGAACTCCAAGTCAGGGATGCTGAGGCTGTCAGGGCCCGTGTGGGGTCAGAATGTGGGATTGGTGGCTCTGGTGGTCCCTGTGCTGTGGGCTTCGTGACTCCCCCCACGCCTGAGGCCAGGCCACGTTCTCTGTCTCAGTGGGCAGCTCTGCGACCCTCCTTGACATGTCCAGTGGCCTGCAGTGATCACTTCTCCAATCCCCTCCCATCCCCAAACCAGCTTCTCTGGGGAATAGGGCCAGGGAGTTGGAGCTGGCACAAGGCTTGACATACACCTGAGTCCATCATCACCCCGCACGGGTGCTGACTCACCTCCTTCATCGGACCCTTTCCCTTCCCAGAAGGAACACGAGAAGAGGCTTTCCTTGTAACTCTGTGAGTGCCCTTGACCTCCTCAAGACCACTCCAAAGCGAGAGCACTGAGTACTTCGTCACCACAAATTCTTACCTGAGCCCGGTGGCCTTGGAAGCTCCTGGGAGAGCCCTGAGCAGGGAACGGGGCACCTGGGCTTCTCCCGACTTTGCCACTGACCTGCTGTGTTGGCCGATGAGAACACACGGGGAGGCCTAGCCGGGTGCCTGCTCCCAGTATGCTTTACAAACTCGACTGGGGAAATGGGCCAAATGATACGTGCCCAACCCTGCGTGTGAGCCTGATGAGACCCTCGATCGAGCTTCCACACAGCGAACACTCGGCCTTGCCCAGGAGAGGGGCTCCGGCTCCGGTGGTCGTTAGGGCTGCAGACTGCATGAGGAGCGGTGGAGCCGGCGTGCCCTGCCTGCCAGCCTGGGCCTCAGCACCTGCTCCGTACGCCAAGGCCGAACCTCTCCAGGCCTCCGCATCCTCATCTGAGAAATGAGAGGATGTGATTGGTGGTCTTTCCCATGGGATAACGATGAGGAGATGCCCTGTGTGTGAAAGGGCTTTGGTCACTACACAGCCGTGGCCTGGTTATTGGGGTGAAGCCCCCTGAAGGAGGACCCTGTGCTGTTTGTCAACTGCTTTGAGCCCTCCTGGGTCAACCTTTGTCCCATTTGTAAAAACCACCAGCACTGGGGGCAGGGGAGAGCCAGGAGCTCTGATGGACACAGAATTCCAGGTTTATTCCATTGGCCGATTGAGTTTGTTCTTGCAGTTAGGATGGGGAAACTTCCGTGTGGGTGATGTTGGGGTTCCCTGCCACCCCCATGGAAATCTTTCAGAGACCTGGGACATCCCTCAAGTGGGCCGAGTGCCCGTTCCTTCTCCTTTCCTTGACCTCGAGGTCCTGGGATGTGTCTGCGCTTGGCCACGTGTGTCTCCTCGTGTTCGTCTTCTGTAGCTTTGCCCCTGTGAGGGCTGGAGGGAGGCGCCCCTGGCGTCCCAGACGCAGCTCCAGGGTCCCTCGCGAGAGCCTGCTCAGCCCGGGTTTCATCTCCTGCAACAGAGACGAGCCCCACAGACCTCACCGCTGCCGCTGCCGCATTAACGCTGTGCTCACAACCTCGTCCGGGATTTTAAGGGTGTCAAACTGCTGTAGGTGACTCAATAAATGTCTTATCGTTTTTTTCCTGGTGGCTGTAACTTGGCAGAAGTGGAGGGCAGGGAGGAGAGGAGGCGGGAGGGGAGGAAATCCGATCCCTTGATCCCTCGGAGTAATCCTGGCTCCTGTGACCTTTTAGATTCCGAAGGAGGGGTAGGAGAACGGCCCAAATGAGCTTAGATTGGCCTTGGGAAAGTCAAGTCCTGGCCTCGAAAGGACCTGCAAGGATCAAACAACTCGAGTGGAATCAAGGTCACTTGGATATTTTGGGTTCCTAGAGATGGAAGCGGCTCACCTCACGGCCTGCGATGCCTCATGGCCTCATATTTTATGAGAGTGGCCACCATATATCCCCAAAGCTCGCCTGCAGCGAGCACTTCACTCAGGTGACTGCAGGTGCATCTCTGGCTGCCATCGTCCCCTCCCCTAATGCTTCTGCAAGTTCAGAGCCATCAGCCCCTGCCAGACTAGGTAACCGATTCCAATAAGCCCCATTTCCTTGAGAGTCTATGGACTGGCACAACCTCGAGTGCCCATTTTTACGTTTGCCAAAGTTTTAGTAGCTACCCACAGAAGACAATTTTGGCTGATAAAGTAGAAAAAGAGGGAGTTTAGGAAAAAGATGTTGAGCGGCTCATAGTGTTCTTGTGAGGCCAGGGAAACCAGAAAAGGTGTCTCGAGCCATGTCTTGCCACAGAACTGATGAAGGTGTTGGCTGTCACTGCCAGCCCAGCGATGTCTCATGCCAGGGACCCAAATCCACAATGACCGTGTCTGAAAGCAAATAGCTCTGCTGCTATTCTCGCCAGCAAACCAAGTTCCACCCGTAGCCTCTTTCCTCAGGGGGCCCACTTCTGAATCCACCTCACCTGAGTCCCCTGGATTAGCTGTATTCTGTCTACCACAAGGGAGGCTGGACGTCGGCTGTTCTGGATTCTGCCTTGGGGAGGTCAGGGTCAGAAGTCTGGAGATTTTGTAAACTTAACAGTTGTATTAAGAAGTCCTGAAATAATAACTGCCCTCCACCGCAGGACTGGGGTCTGAAGCAATTGCAGGGGTTGTCAGGTCAATGAAAAGAGCCTGTGAGTGATCCCTACAACCAGCTAGGCCACTTGCCGAATGCACCCAGGTGGCTAGTGGCAGGTGTTCTCCGCTGGGAGGCTCGGGGAGAAAGTGAGAGAAGGAAAAAGAACCCTTTCTAGTTCAGTAATTTTCTTTTAAGAAGCCTCATGTATACGCACATGTCATTGTTCAAAATCGCACGGCCACGCTTCATGGCAAGGCAGTGAAGTTATGCGCCCCTAATAACATCGGAAGAAGAGAATGGGTTCTGGCTGGCAAAGAGTGGTTTGTGCCACAGTCTCAAACCTCTGGATCTTTAGGGGTTTAGGTGGTGGTGGTTGGGCTCCTCCGCAGCTGTGAAAAATCAAAGGCTGAGTCATCCCATGATGTCCCACTTACTACGCTGGGAACAAACTAGGGGTGCCGTCTCCCATCTGGACCATAGAATGGCCTGGAGCATCCCCAGTCAAAGCTGAGAGACCTGCTTATGCCGACCTGCAGGAACCCCCTCCTGTGTGGGTTCCTCCCCGCTCTCGTGAGTGCATCTCCTGAGGGGCTTCTACATCATGTAAACTTTTTAATTTGGGGGATCCTCAGAGTGATGATGTTATGCAGTTCACTTTTGGGGGGGAGTCTTTTAATTTCTGTCAG